CTTAACACCAAACCTGCCCATCACCTCCTCATCACCTTTGTTCTCCTCACCAACATCCCTGTTGAAGTCTGCCCCAATCACCACTCTCTCCCCTCTTGGAATACTCTCCATCACCTCATCTAACTCACTCCAGAATCTCTCCTTCTCTTCTAACTCACACCCTACTTGTGGAGCATAACCACTGACTACATTCAACATTACCCCTTCAACTTCCAACTTCAAACTGATCACCCTGTCTGACACTCTTTTCACCTCTAAAACATTCCTCACCAGCTCCTCCTTCAGGATCACTCCTACCCCATTTCTCTTCCTGTCCACACCATAATAAAACAGTTTGTATCCCCCTCCAGTGCTACGCACTTTGCTACCCTTACACCTGGTCTCCTGCACACACAGTATATCTACCTTCCTTCTCTCCATCATGTCCTCCAGCTCTCTACCTTTCCCTGTCATTGTGCCAATGTTAAGAGTCCCTATTCTCAGACCTATACTCCTGCCTTTCCTCTTCTCTCTGTCTACAAATCTTTCTACCTCCTCTCCTTCTTCGACCTGGCATGGCCTAAATACAGCTGGAAAATAATCTGACAATGCACAATCCTAGGTTTTACTGTATATGGAGTAGGAAACATAAGCTCATAAAATCTCATGGAGAACTTTTCACTTAAAACACTTTAAAAGATGCTATAAGACACAGGTTCATCCTTTTTCTGGTTATGTCTGTTGACGGTTTATGGCCTGCATGTAGGTCTGTGTCCAGTTCAGACATTAAAACCATTTTCTACCTTGCATCACTTCATTACCACACAGGTTCCTGCGAGGTTACATTTTACAGGTTACATTATATCACGCAAATCTGAACAGGTTTACAGCCTCTCCATAAAACCCATCTCAACTAAAGACAGATCTACCTGCTTGGAGCAGAATGATGCCCCTTACCTGACCTCTGCTAGTCAATGTTTGCTTCATGGGACAATGGACTGCTGATATTTACAGTGCAAGAGAACAGTACAGACCAAAGTGCAGACAGCACTTGCATCAAATTACAAACTGACAGATAGACCCAGGCTACTGTTTGTTTTGACGTCAACCTTTAACTGGCCGGCAAGTCCTCAGTGTGCCCAGGTGAGGCGTTACTGTCCTGCACCACTGACCTGGTAGTAGCCAGTGGCGCTGCCGTCGTCTGGTCCAGGAACAGTTTCCTCATCACCATCCCGACGGAATTCCCGGGAAACCGTCTCTCCAGAAACCGCATCCAGAAGAAACTGAAGTTGCCATGGAAACTGAACGCGACCACGGCGATGTTCTGCGTCTGCCTCCAGTCCACTCTCTCCCCCCGCGAAAACCACTGATAGACCAGGTCCCCCCCGGCGTACAGACAGCCGTACAGCGTAACGTTGGTGAACCACGGAAACCGACGGACTTGGCTCAAAAGCACGTTCCGCATTGTTTTAGAGTTACTGTCACCCCGTGAAATCGAATATGAATGATAAAATAATAAAACGTGCTAACTAAAGGTGGGCGTTGGTGAACCAGATGTTACTAGCTTAATATTAAACTAGTCATTACACAACCGCCATATCGCTAACTGATTATCTCTGCGGCATCACACACAGCTTACTGTACTTTTTCGTGCGAGTTTCGATATAAAACGCCCATAACACTGACTGACAAAGTGTCCATCTGTCTGTCACAGTGATATCTACCTGCAGATATTCGCTCCTTGACCATCCGACAACTGGAACGGGACTGCAAGTCTGCCGATGTGCCGGGTCGAGAGCACGGTGTCCCCATGCAGTCAGTGGGTGGCTCCATAGAGTCAGTGGGTGGGTCCATGCAATCAGTGGGTTGCTCGATGCAACAGTGGGTGACTTCATGCAGTCAGTGGGTGGCTCCATAGAGTCAGTGGGTGGGTCCATGCAATCAGTGGGTTGCTCGATGCAACAGTGGGTGACTTCATGCAGTCAGTGGGTGGCTCCATAGAGTCAGTGGGTGGGTCCATGCAATCAGTGGGTTGCTCGATGCAACAGTGGGTGACTTCATGCAGTCAGTGGGTGGCTCCATAGAGTCAGTGAGTCAGTTGGTGGCTCCATGCAGTCAGTGGGTGGCTCCATGCAGTCAGTGGGTGACTCCATGCAGTCAGTGGGTGGCTCCATGCAGTCAGTGGGTGGCCCCATGCAGTCAGTGGGTGGCTCCATGCAGTCAGTGGGTGACTCCATGCAGTCAGTGGGTGGCTCCATGCAGTCAGTGGGTGACTCCATAGAGTCAGTGGGTGACTCCATAGAGTCAGTGGGTGGCCCCATGCAGTCAGTGGGTGACTCCATAGAGTCAGTGGGTGGCTCCACAAGCTCAACCTGTTTCAGCCACAGACAACATGCCCTATCACTAGACGACGTTCACAGGAGGGGTTGCGGCCCTACTGGATCACAGGGTTCTCTGCCCAAAGAGGTCGATTAAATATACACTGATCAGCCATAACATTATGACCACCTGCCTCATACTGTTTACATAGGAGTCAATGTGGCAGTTGGTTGGCACTCGTGTCACTCTGCAGCTCACTGTGCATCTTCTGTGAATCCATTTGCTTCCACAGTTCTACTGTCAGGAAGAGCACAGATGTGTCTACAATTCAGTGAAAAACGTATGTAAAAGGAGTGAAAACTGTGGTCATGAGGACGTTAGAGAGAATTGTTGAGACAAATTCAACAGCCTCACCGCTCTAGGTGTGATATCACTACTACAGCCCCTGACTCTTTCTCTTCATAAAGACCAATGTACAGTATTTCTCATTTTCAACCATTTTAACAAAAATCAGTGAGCTGTGGGCATCCATGACCCTGTCTCCAGTTCACCATCTGTCCTTCCTTAGAAACTGTTGGTAGGTACTAACCACTGCAGACCAAGAACACCCACCAAGACCTGCAGTGTGGGAGATGCTCTGACCCAGTCATCTCACCATCACAGTTTGGTCCTTGGCAAAGTCACTCAGATCCTTACGCTGCCCATTTTTCCTGCTTCCAACACATCAACTTTGAGGGCTGAATGTTCACTGGTTGCCTAATATATCCCACACACTGACAGGTGCCACTGTAACAGTCAGTATTATTCACTTCACCTGCCAGTGGTCATAATGTTATGGCTGATCGGTGTATTTCGCACCCTTGCGACCTCATTCACACTGACATATAGCTTACATCTCAAATTAGATTTGACCATTTACGTTTATTTACAGTAGATTCATTGTTTACGTGTCTCCTTCAATGCACCTTGCAACCTTCTGAATAGAATATAAAAAGGCCTTATACAGTAGAGGATAATTTAAGTTTCAAAAAAGGAAAAAAAAAAATTGTGAAATCACATTCTGTTACATGTGAACAGAATCCGTATCATTGCAGAAGATTAGTGTACACATTTAAACATGCATTTTACTAAAACACGCATGCATAGCAAATTATAAAGCAGTGTGTAGAGTATGTTATGAATTATAATATTCCACTGTCAACAGGAAGGTGCATTTGTAAAGAAAAATGAACTTTGCTCAATCAGGATTTAAACGTGCAGTTCAGGAAATAACCAGCTTTCCCTTAAGGTTTGATTTCCTGGCAACACAGTGAATGACTTGCAAAAAATTAAAGGCAATGGGGATGGGACAATATATTGAAATTAATTAAACTGTGACACATAAACATTACAATATGTATTGTTGTGTCTGTTGATATATATTGTGGCCTCCATACACCAGCAATTTCATATTTTTGTAATTAGGTGCCTAACAGAACTAGTGCTAGAAAAGGGCAAAAAGGAGGAATAAAGTATAAGTGCTCCACAGGTAGTCATACATTGTTATCAATGAATTTTTAATTGTACGTTGACCAAATCGTCCCATCCCTAAAAGGTGATTAGACATGAAGTCTTGTAAGTAGATTTTCATTTTGTTCTAGTATGAACCAAACTTGCTTTAAAAAAAAAACTTGTAGTTTAAAGGCAAAAAACATACAAAACGACCAATGTGGTCTTTTAATCGAATGCAGTAAAACAAAATAACAAATAAATCAACACAGTTGAGCTTAGTAGGACATTAATATATACAGTGGGTACGGAAAGTATTCAGACCCCCTTAAATTTTTCACTCTTTGTTATATTGCAGCCATATGCTAAAATCATTTAAGTTCATTTTTTTCCTCATTAATGTACACACAGCACCCCATATTGACAGAAAAACACAGAATTTTTGACATTTTTGCAGATTTATTAAAAAAGAAAAACTGAAATATCACATGGTCATAAGTATTCAGACCCTTTGCTCAGTATTTAGTAGAAGC